TTTCTTATGTTCTCACTATCCATACTTATATTTACATTATCAGATAAAGGTATCATCCCTTCACTACAGCTATTTACATTACCCAACAAGGCATTATCTATCCAAGTAAGATTGGCTGGAGTTAGTAATTCTTTTCTCAGTAATTTATTCATTTGCATGGATATGAGTTTCACTACCAGAGTCTTTCCTAGAGAGTTCCAATGAGAGTTAACATTTGAGAGACTCAGTATTGTACATCCTACCATTCTGAGTCCTATAATATCTAATTTACTAACTCCCATACTCACTCACTCTACACAGCATAGACATTTTTGAGAAGTCAGCAGTCTCCGCCATTATGATGTCCAAAAGTTTAATGCTGTGTTCCCAATAACCTGTCATTCCGATCTGTTTTGGCAAAGATAAATCAAATCCATATCCTAATTTATTAAAGAAACAATTTTAAAATTATCCTCCCATCCATGCCTAGGTCTCTGAAGTGATCTGTGTTTTCATGTTCAACTAAATAGTTTTTTTTTTTACCTCTTATATGAAACAATAAACATATTTATGTTGACTATCACAAATATCAGTTATCTTCAGTTTATATTGTTCATGCCTTAGTGTGAGCAGTGTCCACACCCATATCACATAGAGAATATTAACGAATAAATTAGAAGATTTTCCTCTTATTTCAGCCTTTATTTTTTACTTATCGCAGACAAGCAGTCTAGTAGAACTGTAGAGCCCTTCATGTACATCATTTGGCATGGCAACCCAAGTTCTGATTATGGCACAAACTCACGTGGAGAGCTGCTGCAGTCTATTTCAGAACTGTTGGTCATACAGTGAGTTACTTGCATGTATGAGCTTAGTGCTGCCCGTTGTTCTCTGCTGAAGTGAGTGGTGGCGGTTGACTGTAGTTTCTCTTTCTGAGCTGCTGACATTGCCTACAATAAAACAACTAGAAGGTAAAGGACTGGCACTGTAACACACTGTGAACCTTGGTTTGTTTATGGGTGCATATCTCCAGTTTTTTCTTAAACTTCAGCACTAAATGGAGGTGAATGGTTAGTGTCACATCCCAGCTGCTTTATGCAAAGGCTAGAGCCCCCAGTACCAATTTTATAGGAGGCTGGGAGGTATCCAGAGCTGGAGGACTGCTAACAGAAAGATGAATCTGTCCCTCATTGGAAATTGAACCCAGATTCAACAGTCAACCAGCCTTAGCCATGACTGTATGGACTAAACTAGTCAACTAGACAGTAAATCTGTTAGCTGACATTTGTACGGAGTCATAAGTTTAGAATTTAGAACTGATGGCATGTTCTGGCTTATTTATACTTACTTGAGATTTTAGGTTCCTGTTTATTTCTTACATGATAAAAGTTGTAGTAAGAGTGACNTTCCCGCCCAACAGCAGTCTCTAATACCTCTGGTAGATGGGGGAAGCATTACAGATACTTCTCAACCAGTAGAGCTGGTCTCGCTGGCTGGGTGGGACTGATGGTAAGCACCAGTACCGGTAGGATATAGAGACTGGTAGAAATCATAGACGGAAGCACAATGTACCACTACAGGTCTAAGTGCATGGGGAAACCCACCCTCTCCAAATAACTAACTAACTAACTAAGACTGACTTAAAGTGTCATATATCCTTTTTTCCTGAAGAAAAATGTTAAAGAATTAAATCCTACAAAGCAGTCTTGTATAAAACAGAACCAACTCTATAGAATGCTCATAACATGTACACACAGCATAACTGAAGGAAACACACACATCACCACAAAAGTAAGTACAGTACATTAGACGCAACATCAGTATATTCCACTTATAAAATATTAACACACGTCATCATTACATGTTACAGGTATACCAGTCTATAATACACGCTGTGCACAATTGAAAATATGGTTCGGATTTTCAACTTAAATCTAAACTTAGGAAAATTTGGTGACACAAGTAGCGACAAAAGTGCAGAAATTTTGGCTAAATAGGCTGTAACATTCTGTGCAATAGATGTTTTAAATAAAGACATATAGCCTGAAACAATTTAGAGTTTTAAAATTTTAAATTTTAATACTTTTAGTGTGAGTTGCACACGAGATGGCAGTGAATACGTGAAAGAAAGTAGACACAGTGCAACATGATGCTACAATACAACATTAATATGTTGGTTTGGCTGTTTGTTAGTCAGCATTCAAGTGATTGTCAGAAGTTTGAGATCACTGCAATTTTCCAGCCCTGTTCATTAAAAATGCATTTCTTAGTTTAATGGTTGATTTCATGACAATTATATCAATTTTATTTATATTGTGGTGTGCCTCCAGGAATCCAGAAGGTATACTTCCATGGAAATGCAATACCAGTGGGCCATTGCCTAGGAATACCTTAACCAACAAATGTTTTCCCTGGAGATGAAAGGACAACAAAGGTTTGTTGCATAACAGCAGCCGAGACCAAAGGCTCCTACATGGTGCAGCTTTGACAAGACCAGTCAGTTTTTAGTGTAGCTGCGACTAGAGCCGAAGCAAGCTCGCATCCAACAAAGGACAGAAGAAGACTTCACCGAGAATAGCGGTGCAAGTAATTGTTGTAGTGAAGTTGTGAATAATTGTACTTGGGAGTGTAAAAGAGATTGTCCAATAAATGTCTTAACCAAATCCGAGACCTGCGTGAATTTACTTGTTGTGTTACATAGGCAACATGTGACAATATTAATACAGCAAATTACAATTTGACCACTATAACAGATTATCAATTAACGGTTACAGTACATTCTTACCTGACATATTTTGTTATTTTGGCTTCTTCAAGCATTATAGACTGATATCTCTCAAGGCTTAACACAATGACAAATGTGGCGCAGTAGAGTAGTCAAGTAAGCGGTTATTGTAGCCACAAATGTGTGAAACTCTAATGTTATTTAACATTCCAGAGATTGTTTATCCTGACTTACGTGTTTCTTTGTTTCCTGAGTCCATGTCGGTTTCCTTCCACATTCCATCCAAATTATTATTAATTAATCATCCTGTTATTCACTGCTACATAATCATGGCTATTGACAGTTTCGTTTAATAAATCATAAATAAGTATCTTTATTTATACAGTGAAATTTTTTAAAACACATAATTAGTGTTACAGTAGAATTCTCCAGTTACATTCTCTTCCTTCTCAATGCTTTGATGGTAAGGCTCTCAAGCCATGCTCTTCACTTAGGGTGAAAGGCAATATGACACTATATGAAACTAGAGGCAAAATTATAATTCTTCGAGAATATAAACAAGCGTTAGGTCATATAACCTGTTTCTTTAAAGTGCAAGGGGTTACAAAATTATAGTTACATACATAAAATGGATTATTTAATGATGCTTTTTAACAGCATAAGTTTTGTAGCATGCAATGGTAGGATGATTGTATTAAGTATTAGTTGTGAAAGTTATGGAAGGTAAAAGTAGTAGTCATTTTCATGAAAGTAACCACTGTTGACCTGGAACTGAACATAATTACAAAAGTCCTCAATTCTGATGGCTGGTCTGTGGGCCAGTGTTCTCCAAAATACAAAGCAGTAGAGCTAATCATTAAACCATGGTAATCTGTGACGTGAATGACAAAGGAACAGAATAAGAAGGGGGTATGGCAAAACAAAAAAATTAATTCTAAACCTTTACCTTTATTAGCTGTGGAGGTATACATCTGGCAGCATCAGGTGTCAAGAATTCAAGTGACTTTGCAGGAATGGAGGCAATGTAAGACATGTCAAGTCCTCCTAGCACGCAGCCTACGGCATTCACCTGCACATGATACCCACTGGGTGAATTAATTTATTATATGTATCATCATTCAGAATATTATATATTAATTCATTACATTGTTCATACGTATTGTTACTGCAGTAAAATCCAAGAGGTTACGAAGGAGTTAGGATGATATATAATATGTAGGAACTATTCTACTGTCAACACAACAAATATCTCAGTATTACATTTAGATATTTATTTTACTGCAACATGTTTCAGTCATACATGACTTATCATCAGGCAGGAATACGTACAGTTACTGAAATACTGATACGGATCCTTATTGGTGCAACGCGTCATATTGCCTCAGATTAGTGTGTAGTTAAAATAGCAAATCCATGATTAAGAATAACAATAATAATATGAATAATAAAAGATAGAATAAAGGTGTACTATATATAAAATGTTGAAATATTATTAAAACATATAAAGTTATGCTAAAAGTATTAACACCTATATGTAGAGTTAGGGATCTGTATGCCAACTAAAATTTATTTTAAAGTTGGAGGGGGTCCTGCTACAGTGTAGAATTTGGCGTGTATGTTGGGTAGGTCTTGTAGAAATTCTAAGTAATAAGCCCGGTATATGAGGCCCAATGACAAGTTTCCAATGATGTACAAGTTTTGATGGTTATGTGGGTATTTGGTATGGTATTCCCACATTGTGTGTCCTATATAAACTTGCAATGTGGCGTATGTTTCTTGTCTGGGCGTATACGCGTTCAGTGTGTATGGCGTGTTCTACACTGTGCGGTGGTTTGACATGGATTATTATATATTGTCTGCGGCACACAACAGGATGCAGTCAATGAAAAAGAAAAAGAGTTAGGATGAGAAAAAGAAATGCATATGGAGTTTTGGAAGGAAGCTTCTGGAAAATAGCCATTTTAGATAGGAATAGAGCATTAATGTTGATTGAAGAGGGAATAGATTGTGATGTTGGGAGGCATATGGAATTGGCTGAGGATCATGTCGAATGGCAGGGTTTCATATTAGTAGTTGAAGTTAAACCTTCATGTTAATTTTAGTTACCTCGTTCATGCTACTTAGTTCATGCTTCTGTGGATATATGTAAGGTTTTACTAATTTAATAGTTGTACATTTACAAATGTGTCAACTTAAAAGACACATGTAAATGGCAAATAGTGCTTTTATCATCATGAAATTGGTGGAGTGCAGTAGTATAAAATCATATTTGTGATTTTTTTCCTACTGATTTTAATGACTACTAAGTAGTTAACATTTTACATGTTCTTGAAATAAATACATTTTATTAGCCCTATAATTTGTTCATGGATCATGGCTTTTGAACCAGGACTTGTACCATACACCCTCAGATACAAAGCAGGGTGCTAATCTGAACACTGCCACTTTCAGACTTAGTATATAGTAAGGGTTGAGGAGCATTGTAAGTTATCAGAGAGACAGAAACTTCTATGTCAATTCTGTATATACCTGTGCTGGTGTCCAAAGAGCTGTGTTTCCAAATGCTGCACTGTCAATTGCTAAAGTAGCCAATCCTTGCAGTATCTCCATTGGGCAGTACTTCAGTCCTCCCAGAGTTTTGGCAGCTTTACTGTCAGAGGAATATGTGATACAGTCAAAACTTTCATGAACATTTTACCCTTGAGAACTTACTTGTCATTATATCAGACTGTATTCCACAACATCTTCTAAATAGTTCCTTCTGATGTCAAACACTGCCTACAGTGAGTCTTTCCTGTGACTTATTAAAGCATGCAGTTGCGATTTCCTTCACCTGCTTGCTGACAAGGATCTGGTGCCTTCGAGAAGGCCCTCATTCTTGGTAAATCATAGTAAGTAGAAGAGGTTAGATTTGGAGAGCAAGGAGACTGTTGGTGCACATTGATACCATTCATGGACAGATAGTTATATATTGAAAGAGACTGATGAACTGGTGCCTCGTCATGGTGAAGCAACAAGTTCTCAGAATCCAGAGTGTGAGGACATTTATATTGAAAGCTTCTCATAGATGAAAAATGCCCCTGACTATGTTCTTGTTGACTTTATGCGTTTCTAGTCCTCTGAGATGACCTTGGTTGTTGATGAAAATTTAAAAACTTTTTGACTGTGCTTTAAAATAGAGCACACTCAGACTTTAACCTACAGTAAAGATTTGGTGTACTTGTACTGTAAGCTGCACAACATGAACAGAAAAATACTGTCTTTTGGTACTTATTGGATATATTATGCTGTTTTGGGGTGATGCTGCTACAACAGTTGAGTGGGAAAAATATCAAAAGTTACAGTTAGAGTTATTCTACATATGCTGGAATGCACATGGCATGAATTACACGTTGAATTTCTGTTGCAATAAAAACCGGACACATAGCAAAACGATATCTTCCCTCCCTCCCCAAAATAGTACACTGCTCTGTGCAATCTTGTTGGTCATTTGAATTATATTAAAAATGTATTTACATTTGAAATGATCACCCCATTATGGAAAGTGTGTATTACCTGTATGCACTTGGATGTATCCTCTCAATTGCAGTGCGGTTGAAGCCACACAGTATATGTTGTAATGCTATCAGATCATAACATGTGTAGTCTTCAGGTTCCTTGGCTGCCCAGCTTTTGTGGACCTGTGCTGCCAAAGCAGTGAGCTGAAAGGCAGAGACATAAGCTCATTTGTTGTTTATTACTGATGTTGGGCACAGAGTGGCATATTGTGAAATTCTGTTGTCCCTGATTGTCCTGGTCTCT